CTCTGGGCCTGGGCGCTGTCCCTCAGCTCTTCAGCTCAAGGCTAGCACTCTACCACTTGAGCCACAGCACCACTTCCAGCTTTTTTCTTTTTGCTATGTGGTGCTGAGGAATCGAACCCAGGGCCTCAGGCATGCAAGGTAAGTGCTCTACCACTGAGCCACCTTCCCAGCCCCCTATGAGACTCTTTTATCTCCACTAAACTACTAAAAAAGCTGGAAGTGGAGCTGTGGTTCAAGTGCTAGAGCACTAGCCTTAGAAAAAAGAAGCATATAGACAGCACTTTGAGTTTAAGCCCCAGGACAGGCACAAAAAGAAAAAAAGAAGGGGGGGGGATTTGAATATGGCCTAGGTTTAAGATGATGTAATGACATGATAGGTGTGTAAGAATATGTTCTTGGCCCACTGTGGATCCAGGAACATCTGTCTTCTGCAGAGCACAGCAGGCTGACCATTTTGAGCCAAGTCTTCTGACTTCCCAGAGCTCCCTGCTTCCTCCCAACACTTGCTATGACCACCACCTTGGGAAAGAGGAGCGAGACCTGCCTGGGCCACCTCAGGGGCTGCGTGGATCAGATGCCAGATGTAGCCGTTCAGTTCCTCCCTCCGACGCTCCGCCACAGCCTCTCCCCGAGAGCGGCCAATCACAAAGCGACTAGGGAAGCTGGAGAAGTGGGGGGGGGGGGAGAATGAGACCCAGTCCACAGTTCATTTCCATTCCTAGGCACCTGACCCCCATTTGCAGTTGATTCTCTACTCCATCTCTTCCCTCTCTCTAGTCTGCGCCCAGGTCTCACATTGCCCAATTCCAAGGGCAGTACCTCCACTACCAGGAAAAACTAATAGCTGGGCAATCTTCAGAAATGCCTGCATGGCTTTGAAGCTTCTGATTTTTCTTGTCAGTGTAGGTTTTCATTTATTTTATTCTATTTTAGTCCGTTGTGGGGCTTAAACTCTTAGCCTGGGTGCTATCCCTCAGCTCTTCAGCTCAAGGCTAGCACCTCTACCACTTGAGCCACAGCACTACTTCTGGCTTTTTGTGTTTATGTGGTGCTGAGGAATTGGACCCAGGGCCTCATGCATGCAAGGCAAGCACTCTGCCACTGAGCCACCTTCCTAGCCCCTCATTTTTTTTTTTTTTTTTTTGCCAGTCATGGGGCCTGAACTCTGGGCTTGGGCGCTGTCCCTCAGCTCTTCAGCTCAAGGCTAGTGTTCTACCACTGGAGCCACAGCGCCACTTCCTGCTTTTTCTGTTTATGTGGTGCTGAGGAATCAAACCCAGGGCCTCATGCTTGCAAAGCAAGTGCTCTACCACTGAGCTACCTTCCCAGCCCCCCTCATTTATTTTAAAATCTTGGAAAAATGCACATGACATCAAGTTGATCATTTTAAGCATTTTTGTGTATGTGTACCAGTCCTGGGCCTGAACTGGGGCCTAGGTGCTGTCTCTGAGCTTTTTTTTTTTTTTTTGCTTAAGGCTGGTGCTCTACCACTCGAGCCCAGCTCCCCATCCCATTTTAAGCTTAGAGTTCAACATTAAGTACATTCACAATGCTGTACTGACCTTTTCATCCATTTTTTATTGCTATTATAAAGGTGATATACAGAGGGATTACTGCTTCATAAGTCAGGTAATGAACTTTTTTTTTTAGGGGCAATCAGACCTCCTTTTGTAATCGGAACTCCACATTCAGTGACCAATAATGCCTCGACTACCTCTCTCTCTTCTGACTACTGAATCTGACCATTCTAATGTGACTCAGCTCATTTTATCTTTTGATGACTGGCCCTCCCTTTCAATGCTCAATAATATTCCATTGGATGTATATATCACACTTTTTTTTTTACTCATTGGGAAAGTGGTTTAACTCTTTGTATACGTTGGAAACTTTAAAACATCTTCAGATTCTGCCACAGCAAGCAGGAAATCTGGCAGGAGGGAATGGGAAGAAGTTCATGGTCAAGACTAGAGCAAGACCTCTGGAACAGTGACAACTGTGGCCAGCAGGAGGCGCACTTGTTGCCACACACCAGGCCAAGGAAAGCAGGTAGACAGATCTCTGGTATAAAAGGTTTGCCACTGTAGTCCTGCCAGCCTCATCCTTCCTCCCCAGTAGCCCCAGAGAGGAAAAGGGGGAACGCTACCTGGGCAAGAGGGAAGAAGGGAAGAGCAGCCGCAGTTTATTGTGCAATTCCTGGAACTCCTCAAACGTCCGCTGGATGTAAGTAGCTTCGTGAGAGTTCTCTCGCATCACCTTAACTATGTATATCTGTAAAGATCCAAGTCTCAGGAACACCTGACTCTGTGAGCAGAGTCAGAACCCTGAGAAGCCGAGGTGAATGGGAGAAGTGAATCAGAGATGAGAAAACACTTACGTAGCCCTTGTTAGGGTGAAAGATCTTCTCGTGACGGCAGAGGAACACATCACTGATTTGCCCTGAGCTCTTGAGAGTGTGCGTTCGGGGGGCAAAGGAAAGGGTCAGCCTGTCATCGGAGCCTGTGAACTTCATCTGAGCCAGGTTATGGATGAAAAAGTTGAGCTTGGTGGCTACGCTGCCCAGGCTGGATTCAATCAACCTGTTGGGTAGAGGAGGGATGGGAGGCTCTGCCATCTAGGGGAATCCTTCCCACAACCCATCCTACTCCTCCAACCCCAGCTGGAGCTAGTGAGGGTGAGCAAGGCTGCCTTAGGCCTCCAGGTACCTAGTGAAATAGGTGGTGGCATTGGCCTCTGTGTCCTGGGGTCTCAGGGCATCATACACATACTTGAGGTCCTCCAGGTCCGAGAGCTCAGGGATTCCACAGGACAACATCTAGATGGAGAGGAAAAGAGGGAGAAGGGGCCTCTAAGGACAGGGAAGTCCTACTTCTCTTTCACCCTTTCACCCTCCTTCTAGAGAGCAGCAGACGGATGCTGTGGGCAGTGGCTGGTAACCACAGGAAGTGGAAGGCTTGAGATAAGGGGACCAGACATATTGCTCTCCCCAGGTGGGCTGGGTCCCTCTATCTAGGGTAGTCAGTTACTCAATTGGGTCTCAGAGAAGATGCTATCTGAGAACCTCCCCTCCTTCCCCCCCTTCCCCTCCCCACTAATCCTGGGGGATTGAATTCAGGGCCTGGGCACTATCCCTGAGCTCCTTTTGCTCAAAGCTAGTACTCTACCACTTGAGCCACAGCGCCACTTCTGGCTTCTTCTGTTATGTGGTACTAAGGAGTGGAACCTAGGGCTTCAGGCATGCTAGGCAAGCACTCTACCACTAAGCTACATTCCCAGCCTCTCAGGATCTTTTGAAACAAGCCAGGGTAGTCTTAAGGATGGCACAGAATAAGAAGGAGGTGTTCAGAGATGGAGCTCCTCACCAGGCCCAGAAGGTTGAGGAACAGGTGGGTGTGCTTGCGAATGAGGTTGTAAGCTTGGCAGCAAAGGTCAACGAAATCATGGAAGCGGCTGGAAGGCTTGTCACCCCCGTTGATGACATATGCCATGTCCGAGGTGAAGACAAACGGAGCACGGTCCCTGGGGAAACATACAGGTAGAAGGTCACCGTGGAGGAAGAAGCCCACCTGTGGTCTGCATTAAGGGGTAGTGGCCCCATCCTTAATCATGTGTTCAAACCTGGACAGATGAAGCTGTCTCTTACCCTGCTGTCTTTCATATTACAAAATCCCCAGACAGCGTGTTCCTTGGTTGCAATCTGTGTTTCCTTTTCCTGCAGTGTGGGTTCACTTCCTTCCTCAGTAAGGAGAGAGAACAGCCACGCACTAGTGGCTCACACCTATAATTCTAGCAACACAGGAGGCTGAGATCTGAGGATTACCGTTCAAAGCCAGCCTGGGAAGGAAAGTCTTGTCTCCAATTAATCACCAAAAAGCTGGAAGTAGAGCTTGTGGCTCAAGTGGTAGAGTACCAGCCTTGAGTGAAAAAGGTGTAAGACAGCACCCAGGTCCTGAGGTCAGGTTCCAGAACTGGTGTGTGTGTGTGTGTGTGTGTGCGCGCGCACACACACACACACACACACACACACAGAGGAGGAAAAACAGCTGGTCCCCACCTTCTGTAAGGCCCTACAAGGACTTGACCTCCTTACCAGTCCTCTCCATAGCTGTTCAGCCCAGGGACAATGCTCTGTCCACCATAGGTTTTCGTCCTAGCTCTGAATCATCCCTGCTAACCTCTATCCTCCACATGTGACCAATCCATCTGGTTTCAGGATACCACTTACCTCTTGATGTTGCCAAACATCTGGGCATGACCCAGGAAACGGCCAAAATCTATGTGGAACATGTGGCCAGTGGTCTTCAGCATAATGTTGTCATTATGTCGGTCACAGATGCCCAAGACATATGTGGCCACACAACAGCCGGCACAGGAGTAGATGAAGTTCTCTACAGCCTGGGAGACGAGAAGCAGGTGGGGGGAGAGGACACAAAGCTGTCAGAGTTGGGCACCGTGGCGCACACCTATAATCCTAGCTACTAAGGAGGCTGACATTGAGGATTGCAGTTTGAAGCCAGCTTGAGCAGAACAGTCTGTGAGACTCTTACCTTCAGTCTAAAAGGCTGGAAGTGGAGCTGTGGTTCAATTGGGGGGTAGAGCACTAGCCTTAAACCAAAAAGTCCAAGCAAGCGCACAGCCCTGGGTTCCAGTATCAGTACAGTAACAACAATAACAACAAAAGCTGTCTGGAAGAAGCTCAGGGACACAGTCAAGCTGAATTCAGTCAACACTGGCCTTGTTATTTCTTGTGAACCCCAAGAGAACCTCACACCTGTCTGTTCATCCTTCACCCTTGTCACATACTAACGTACACACACCCCTCTCGTGTATGCAGGAGTAAAAAGATATGGAAGGAACTGGGGCACTGGGGGCTCACACCTATTATCCCAGCTACTCAGGAGGCTGATATTTGAGAATCACATTTGGAAGCCAGCCCAGGCAGGAAAGTCCTTGAAACCCTTATCTTTCATTAACCACCTGAACAACTGGAAGCAGAGCAATGGCTCAAAGCGATAGAGGGCTGCCTTGAGCAAAAGAGCTCAGGGACAGCACCCAGGCCCAGAGTATAAGAAAGGAAGGAAAGAAAAAAAGAAAGAAATGGAAGGTCTTTATGTCTTCCCCCACCCTTCATCTGAACTTCATCTTCTCCCTTGAGACTGGTAAAAAAGAAAGTAGACAGATAGAAAAGCCCGGATGTAAACAGCCAAGACGTGGGAGACCTTGGTATACAACACGATTTGATGCTGAAAACCTTCCCAGCATGCCATCGTGACTCTGGTTCAAGCTGGCTTGAGTAGTGGATTAAGGGAGAATTCCCTGAATCTGCTCAGAATGTGTCCATCTTTCTTCCTGACCCAAATAAAACTCCTCTCCCAGATCTCGTGGTAACAGCTAAATCCTTGTCTAATTAAAGTCACTGTTCTTGGGAGAAGAGCTGAGACAGGTTCACACTTCCAGGCGGGTTTTACACTTGAAAACCTGACATCTCTACTTAGTGAAATGTGTTAGAGATATTTTTGAGTTTCAAGGAGGAGAGGGGAAGCTGGGCACAGTGGCTCACATGCAATTCCAGTACTCAGGAGGCACAGGCAAAAGGCTCATGATGTTGAGAGCAACTGGGGTACAGAGTGAGATCAAGGTCAGCCGGGGTTAAATACTGAAACTTTTGGGGGTAGGGATATAACAGTGATTAAGGGCTGAATCCACTGTTTCTCTTCTTTTTCTTTTTTCTTTTGTCGGTTGTGGGGCCTGAACTCTGGGCCTGGGCACTGCCCTTCAGGTCTTCAGCCCAAGGTGAGTGCCATTTGAGCCACAGCACCACTTCCAGCTGTTTCTGCTTAGGTGGTGCTGAGGAATGGAACCCAGGGCCTCATGCATGCAAGGCAAGCGCTCTACCACTGAGCCACCTTCCCAGCCCCACCCCTAGTCCTGGGGTTCGAAATTGGAGCCTGGGTACTGTTCCTGAGCCTGAGCTTCTTTTGCTCAAAGCTAGCGCTCTGCCACTTGAGCCACATTCCCAGCCCCTTTCATAGAGTGTAACTTTTTTTTTTGGTGATAGGTATGGGGTTTGAACGTAGGGCCTGGGCACTGTCCCTGAGCACTCTCTTTTGCTTAAGGCTAGCTCTCTACCACTTTGAACCACAGCTCCACAGTTCAAAGCCAGTCTGGGCAGGAAAGTCCAGGAGACTCTTACCTCTGAAGCCTTGAGCCACTTCTGGCCTTTTGTTGGTTCATTGGAGGTAAGAATCTCCTGAACTTTCCTGCCCAGACTGGTTTTGAACTGTTCTTGGCCACCTACTTAACAAGGAGAGCACCCCTATCCTGTGAGTGAAACTCTTACAAATGGAGACATAAAAGGAGCAAAAGAAACTTCTAGTATTTTTTCTAGTAAGAAGACTCCAAGAGGCAAGACATAGTAGAGAAGTCCACAAGCTAGTGGCCCCAGAGACTGAAGCTGAGGCTAGAGGAAGGGATCTGGAAGTCCTCAGTGTATGGATAAAGGCAGAAGTAATAGGGGATGAGCTAGCCCAAGAAGAATGAAAAAGAGCACAGCAGGCCAGGGACTAAACCCTGGGGAATGCAAACACTTAGGGCCATTTAAGATCATCTAATTACATACATTCCTTGAACAACATTCTGGTTATAATTTGGCTGTGTGTGATTTCCCTCAGGATATTAAATGCATTAATCAATACATTTGGATCTTCTTGAAGTGACACATATAAATTAGCATTCTGACATTCTTTTTTTTTTTTTTTCTGGTCAGTCATGGGGCTTGAACTCTGGGCCTGGGTGCTGTCCCTCAGCGCTTCAGCTCAAGGCTAGTGCTCTACCGCTTGAGCTACAGTGCCACTTCCAGTTTTCTGAGTGGTTTATTGGAGATGAGTCTCATGGACTTTCCTGCCCAGCGGCTTTGAACCCGTGATCCTCAGATCTCAGCCTCCTCAGATCTCAGCCTCCTGAGTAGCTAGGATTAAAGGTGTGAGCCACCAGGGCTCGGCCATTGGGACATTCTTATTGTGTCTTGTCCCCTCCCTATCTCATTAACCCAGAAGCTAGAGTCACAAAGCTATGAAAAGGCACCGAGACTTACCACTCAGGAGAGCTCCATTCATAATCTAATCTCTTCTCTCACCAGGCCTCTTTCACCTCCCTCTACTCTGACTTTGAGTGACTTTCAGTGTGACCCCAGGCACAAGTGTGAGCATGAATTACTCCCACAAAAAGAAAGGATTGGATTATAAACGTCTCTAGTCAGGTTCAGGTAGCTCACGTCTGTAAATCCTAGCTACTCAGGAGGCTGAGATCTGAGGACTGAGGTTCAAAACCAGTTCTGGCAGACATGTCTGAGAGACTGAGATCTCCAATGAATCACCAAAAAGCTGTAAGTGGGAAGTGTGGCTCGAGTGGCAGAGTGCCAGCCTTAAGCAGAAAAGCCAAGTAAAAGTGCAAAGCCCTGAGTTCAAGCCCCAGTACCAGCAGAAGCGTGTATAACAAAAGAAGCTAGATCAAAGGATCTCTGAACAGTCTCTACCAATCATCTCAATTCTGTGAGGCACCACAGGATTGCTCTGAGAGTTCCAGAAGAACTAATCAGAAACTGCAATGGGGAAGTTTTGCTAGGCCAGGCCCCTCCCCCAAGATTCCCTCTACCAGGTATTAACAGTAACTCAAAGTCTTCAAGTCTGACACACCAGCTTCCAACAGTCAGTTCACCCAGCCTGAGATACACAGTCCCCCAAGAGAGGTTATCCATCACCCCAGCAAAGCTGAGTGGTCTGGAGGTAACAGAGTCGTGCTTCAGCATTAGGCTCAGTCTGGGCAGCTCTGGGCCTCTCCGAGTCTATCGATCCAGCGGAATCCCACCAATCCCACCTTCTCATACTCGTCCTCCCCGGGGTTGTGCTTCTGCAGCCAGTCTGCCAGGGGCCGGTCCTTGAAGGAGCCTGTCACTCCATGCTCCACCTGGATCTTGCGCAGGGTCTCAGCGTTGGGGATCATCTCTACCATCCCTATGAGAGAAGAGGTCAGGGTCACACTCTGGAGAGGAGAGAAAAGGGTTGTGGGGAGAAGCCTGCAGGAGCTGGGCAGGGTACTTGCTGGCCAGCAAGCTAAGCTCTGGAGCTTTTGGACCAAATCTGTGAAAATGAGGGAAAACCTGCTGGCCACCTCCATATCTCCCACACTACGTTGACTCCTGGTTCTCCCCAGTTGATAGCCACTGCTTTCCTTTTGGCTTTTGACTCTGACTAATCTTCAAACATGTACAGGAATGGGGGGGAACAAAAGATTGTGTTAGTTTACTTGTAACTGTCACCCATCCTTCAAAAAAGGATCCACATTTGCTGATCATGTTATCTTTTCATATGCACCTCCCAGTTCCCGCTTCCTGACACCTCGCTGGAGCACTGGGAAGCCGGTCCCAGTTGTGTCATTTCATTCATTAATATGTCACATGTTGTCCACAAGCAGATGACCATTAGGCCATGGTCACAACCCCAAATCTAACTATCCCTCTTTGATCAAACCTAGTCTACATCCACATTTCTTCCAGTCATTTCAAAAACGACT